AGGAATAAAATGGAATTTACATTCAAACAAATTGCATAATATTGATGTTTATTAAATTTTATTTGAAATCTTCACCACGAGTCTGACACAATATTATAGGGCAAGGGGTTAAAGTTACAAAGCTGCACAAGTGAAAGCGTACACTCCTACGCAATGACGTAAACCGTATTGGTAGTTGATGAGTGGTCGCCTCGATTGAGATCAGTAGATGAAGTGTTCAGTGATCACTTTTGCAAAAGGGGTGAGAAAATGAGACAATATTTCGAGCACAGCTAAAGATGTATGTTTTTACACCTAATTGATAACACCTAGTTTGTACACCTAATTTACACGTAAGTAATTTTATTAATTTCATACCTTTCAAATCTCCAACACCATCGCCGTCAGAATCCTTGAAACTCCGTGGGTATATTTGATAGAATACCATGTTCTTCCACCATCCTTTGTTGCGGATTTCGGCGGCCGCTAGGGTAAGCACCGCCAACAATATGATAACAATGTGACCGGTACTCTTCATGATTCGAATTGCACGGGACGGAATCGCGCGGCCTATTTATAAGCAGCGCAAGACGGTAAAAAAGAACAGACACTCTCTGGCGGTTATCATTCGAGCACAGGATAAGTTAACATCAATTCTATCATGCAATGAGATCGGCTGCCGATGAAAACATTCGATTCGAAATGAACATATCTGTTACGATTGATACCATTGTTTCATCATAAATAAAACGAACGATGACACATCGTCATTATTTTTCTATTACACAGTTATGCAAAGACACTGGTGTGGAAGATGAGGGAATCGGAGAATTTTCAACGAAACATTGCCGATATTTGACATCTCATAGAACTTCGTGGCATAAAATCACAGAATACCGAGTCTCGCTTAAAAGAGTGAGTCCCTTAGGGATGCCTAATTAACCCATTTGCATCGTACGATAAAATGAAGAATGTAATCACCTTCCTCTCATAGAATCTAAATATCTCTAATTTGGTTTCACAATGAAATTTATTAGATATATTTCTAAAATAACTTTAACACGACCAGTCCCGCGTGTACCGCATTTGATACATGTTAATTTCTCGAAGGAAATATTTTTTAAGATACTACAAATGGCCACGGATAACGGTACACGTTATAGAGTAGCGGCAACGTAAAAAAAAATATAGAAATACATAGAAAAGTCACTAAAAACTTAAATATAACTTAACATTTTATTTACAAAATCAACACACTTCATAAGCAAAATATAACTAAAATTTACGATGGCATTGAACGTGTTAAATTGTAATTTTAATATTATAATTTAATCAATGAACAATATGTCAATAAGTAATTACCAAAGTATATAAATAAATAACATTCAGTATATTCTTGTCTAATAGTTTGAATTACATTACCTTAACAAATTATTTAATCTGTTCACGATCACTACTATTCATTTGCAAACGCGAATGCGCGCATATGTGCGTTCCGGTAATAATGGTTAGGAAAATTCAACACATATATGCGTTAATGTCAGAAATTAATTAATTGTCAGAAATAGTTTTGCATCAAGCTGCTGATGAAAAATTTTCTCTTTGAAAATTACACTATTTGCTGCTTTCCACTAGATCAGTGAATCCTTGGAAGAGAAATGTAAATAACACTGTGGAACAAATTTTGACCTATGTTAGGTTTTGCAATAACCACTATGTGATTCTTATAGAGTTCCTTACCCTAAATACGAATCCGAAAACCAAATTGCTGGATCAGGTCCAGTTTTCGAAAAAACTGGGGTTTTGTAAAAATGGTCGAATTTTTCAGAAAACCAAGTGTTACGTGAAAACTAAAAACGATAGGCAGTTAAAATTTGTCGAAAAAAATAAAGGAGACTTGCCTGAACACGTAGCTATAAAAATTTTGAATTTTACATATCACTAAACGTTTGTAAACGATGATCAAAGTTTAAAAAACGGTAGATGCGCGTACTTTGTATGCACTTCTGTTACATTTATACGAAAAGTGGGTTGACCAGCACGAATTTGCTGTGCACCATTGGATTCTGCAGACTTTTCTGAAGAGGAACCCCCTCGTGGGAAGGGTAAGGAACTCTATAAGAATCACATAGTGGTTATTGCAAAAGCTGACATAGGTCAAAATTTGTTCCACGGTGTAATCGACAAAAGGTAAAAAAGAATTGTCAGGCGAAGAAACTACTGTAAACCATAATTTTGATATTGTAACTTTCATGTCGCACATCAGTCAAAATTTTTTAGTTCAAGGTTATGTGAGGATCATCATATAGAAGGTGGTTGAATTCGTCTCGACATCAACTATTACTCTATATAAAAAATACATAATGTCGTTTAACACGTTGGCTACCAATAGAAAACATAAAATCTTTTCCCGTCATTATTATTTATAATATCATTTTGTTTTTTACTACATAGATACTTACGATTGACAGAGAACTTACTTTGACAGTTTATGTCATTTTGGCGTGTAAACTTGTCATTGGGATACAACAGTTTCATATAACTGCAATGCACCATGAACTAGTTTACTTGCCGTTATATGATTTGCATACTAGTTTCATGGTATAGGACTGACACATGTAAACTTCACATTGTATTAAAAAAGCAAATTTATAAAAATCAAAAGCAAATAAAAAGTTTGTTGCCAAGTCAATGCGGTAAATGTTTAGATGTGCGCCCTGCTCATCGATTTCGATGACACTGAATTCTGTTGTAATGGTCATCATTCTGAAAACTCTTGTATGACCTTGTCATGTATCGTTAAGGTCATTATTCTATGTATCTAGCACTTTACATTTTTTAACAATGACTATTAGTTCAGAAATTATTGTTTTCTTATGAAGAATCTCAATTATAGTTATTTCTCAACGATCTTTTAATCGCGTTATGTAGGTCGTCCTGTATTATACCTACACATTTATTAGAGCACGATCGTAGTCTCGCAAACATAATTAGAAATAGATAGGGCACGAGCGTTCGAGGTTTAATGTGGTCGAACTGTCCCGAATTACTGTGGTCAAGCTATACCAGGACGACTAAAGTGATCGACCACTTCATAACGTTCAGTAAAACCGAATGGATGCATAATATTGAGGTTAAGCTAGCAATTTAGGGAATACCATTCAAGAAGAAACACGGTGAAAAATACTCAAACCCATTGCTTATCTCTAGACATATCTAAAAATAAATCGCGAAGAAACTTTGAAGCTGATACTGGTCTCTGAGACTGCGGTGGCGATGTTTATCTCATAACATATCGCACAAACACTGATAAAGGTTCAAACCCAACGCTTGACCCAGGACATGTCTAAAAACAAGTCTCACCGTCTATAGGAGTCTTTAAGTCATATGCATGAATATGTACTAGCAACACGATCCCGCTGCAATGTCATAGTAGGGATGCTGAGCGGGTTTAGGAGAAGAAAGATATAAAGTTCTCCTATCCTTCTTCTATGAGACAAAACGTTGTATCTTTGTTATGCCAAACCGATCGCTGTGAAATCACAGCAATGTCGCGTCGTTTGTGTTAATACGATCTTAATTGTAGGACAGACGTACAATTGGGAGATAACTCGATGTCTAGCGGAATACCACAATAGCAAGAGGTGGTTTTCTACTTTAACCCTTTGCACTCGAGAGGCGACTCGCAGTCGCCATTTGGTTTAACATACCAAAATTACAAAGTTTTATGTAAAATATTAAAGTTTGTTTAACGTAATTATCCCTGAAACTTTAAAATATCCCTTGATTGCTATATTATTTATATTAATGTCAGTTATAAAAACCTATCATTGATATTTCAGTAGAAAATGAAGAATATATCTAGCAAAATAATTTTCGAGTACAACGGATGAATTCTATAGTTTTTATTGGTTACGTGTAACCTTATTGACGAACAGCCAATTCATGATCGAAAACATCAGAAATTATGAAATACAGACAACGGAAGATTAAGTGAGACAAAATGAAGACTGATCAGTCAGCCCCGCTATCCTCAGCCTAGCCATCAAGTGACCTCTAAGTACTTCTTTGTTATTTTTGTTAACAAAGTGTAGCTGTTTGGCTTTTCACAGTGTAGCGTATGTACAATACGCCTCTCACGTTAGCTGCATCGACCACCAAACTAAAAGTGCACAGGAGCAAGGGTCTTAACTGTACCACTCACGATGCTCTGGCCGTCTCGGCTTTCGACGCATGCTCGTTATTGGCGCACAGTAATAACACAGGATACGTAAAACATAGGATTGTTGCCGTTACAAACATGTGACGCTGGTAGCGAACATGTTAAGTGAGACGTAACGATAGAAAACAAAATTCTCCATAGTTCCGCCACGCTTCCAGCCTTTATTATTGCAGCGCGCCAATAATGACCGTGCGTCAAAAGCCAAGGCAATCCGAGTATCCTGAGTGGAAGAGTCCCCTTACTCCTGTGCACTTTTACTTTAGTGGTCAATGGAGCTAATGTGAGAGGCGTACAGTAGGTAGGTATCGTACTTACTTCCCTGATCGATTTTCGAAAGTTGACGAGCGATATTCATAGTTGACGATATGTCGCTGTTGCTTAGTGGACGCGGAGTGCGTTGTAGGCATCCACGTTCCTGCGGCAATTATTCTCGTAATTGACAAACGGATTGACGTGGCTATCGCGTAGCCGAAACAGCTCCCATCAATCGCCACTCTTAGGGCCGTTCTGCCCTGGGGAAAAGTGAAAGGTTGTAATCGAATACCCACCCGGAACCTATCACGAATTTCAAGCGATTTGATGCTCGGTTGTGTTTTAGACGAACTTTACGTCAAGGTAAAGTGTACGATGTGACTTTCTATCATAGCGCGATAGACTCACTCTGGAACCACCATACCAGTCAAAATGGCTGGTCTTAATTTTCTTATTTTGAAATTACCGATATTTTAAACATGTTGAATATTTGAAAGTATTAGGAAAATTAATAGTTTCATTTATGTAATCTAATGAATACCAGCTAAGATCGTAACAAATGTATTCTTGTCATTTTTATACGTAGTACATATTAATCATATTAAGTGCTTGATAGTTCTAGTGTTGAACACGTACAACCTATTGAACGAATATTAACTTCTACGTTTTTACTATGTATAAGAGTTACTTCATGCATTTAGTTGTAATGTAATTATTAACTTTGTAACTATATGGTCAATTTTTATATTATATATGTTTATATATAAATTTTCAAATTTATAATATATTAACGTTACAAATTTAATAATTACATTACAACTTATATACATATACAACTTATATTACAAAACTGTAAATTACTTTACCCTGCGTTTATTTTTAATTAATGGGTCGTTAAATGAAATTATTCTTGATCCCAATTATTGCAACAACCTCAAAGAACTTCTTAAAACTATATCCTGTACTATAGCAATCATTAATTAATTTCCAACAACTCAAATTCGTGTATACGAAATAACTTTCAATATGTTATAGATATTGACTAGAAATACTTGTAAATTTACGAGAATATAATAATCCTCATTCCAGTCATAACAAAATAACTGCAATTTGATTAATTTGATATAGGTACAGTGCACCATTCAATATCGCCACTTCCTGTATTCGCGATAAATTCATTTCAAATCGCGGTATTATAGTATCTGTATTTCACAGCGCGCTAAACGTGGTAGTCTATTCTACAATTAATACGGTAATAAGGCTGCAATGACAAGCGAATCGTACCCGTCGAGGGATAATAAACAGGTGCGAACACTAAGCAGTGTACAAAACATTGATATTTGTAGATGAAAATATTATAGAATCGAATAAGCGTAATTTTCGCATAACTGAGTACATATTGATAAAACAATTTCCAAATACCTTTACATTCTATATTCATAATAAAACTTGGTAAAAATAGTCAAACATTTATCATTATAATATTTTTTTAATATGCTTCCTGTCCATCACCGCTTCTACATCAATGTTACATTATTTCAAACAAATGTTTCAAACAAAGGAAAGTAATGGTCTTACATAAAAAATTAAAAAGCTGATCATTCCAACAGATCCTTATCCTATTAATAAGAACGAAATGAAAGAATAAATGACACAGTTTCTGAATATACAATATCATTAAATTATAATTATTTTATTTATATGCAAACTCAAGAATATACAACATTAAAAACGTAAACATCTAATTGTTGAAGGAATCAAATCGGCTTCATGGTCCATGACATAAATTGCATCCCGAAACTATAAACAATAAATAAAGAAAAATATTAGTTACTACGAAAACAAGGCTTCAACATGAAGAGACTATAGTTTGTAATATATGAAGATCGTTTTTCAACGTGATAGTTGAAAATATGTACTATGATACTTACTTCTATTCCATTCTCGGTCTTAGTGTTTAATTAAAACTGCTATTCCATATGGAGGTACTTTTATACGCTTACTACTGCTCAAGCGGTGGCTATATTCATAAATAAACAAAAAATATTATTAAACGGATTGTTTCATTTAATAATTGTGACACGTGATATATTAACACATATTCGACCGAAGGAACTAATATAGTTCTGAAAGAGATTTGACTTATATATATATGTCAATTTAAAAGTTTTCAAACAAAATAATTATGCATATGTAATACATCATATTTAACTTTTCATTTTCATTCATTTGTTAGAAATTAGATAAAATCCGGTAAAATGACAAAGATAAATGTAAAAAATAATTTCCGCGAAAATAGAACTAAACCGTTGGCATTGAACGATGATACCAGATTAGCAGCAGACTGTGTGTTCTCGACCAGAGTGATGCGAGTAAACAAGCATTGATCACAGTTCCGTGTTTGTTCAAGTCCGTAATGTCGAAAATGTGGCGCAGGTAAGTATGAATGAACAGAACGAAAAGCTCTAATAAAATGTCACCTTGAAATGCAAAGAATACAATAAAATTTGATTCAATTCTATTCCCTTAAGAGAACACGAATTTTAAATTCTAGGACTACTGAAAAATAATTGCAATTTATTCGATGGAATGTTAGCTGTGCATTGTTGTTTACTTCTTTTCTTATAAGATTTAAGTGACATCTTATCATTTTATCAATCATAGTCAATAAGGATATAAATTGTAATTTATATAGGTTAGTAGATTAGAAATAGAAATATGTTGATGACCGAACCATTGATACTATACACCTATAACGAGAAATATTCGAGTGAAACCTGTAATAACAGTAGAAATATTTCAGAAGAGGAAGTTAAACGATAATTCTGCATAATTAATTCGTTTTGCAAGAAATAACTAGCCCTGCGCTTGGATTAATATTATCACTTGGATTATAAACTGAATGCACCCTTGCTTTCGCAACTGCATTCTAGTTCAAAGAAAGTACGATAAGCATTATTTTTCCGTAATACTATTGCGCTGGTATATCAGAAGTGACAAAGTTTAGATAAGTAAAATTGCATTGCGGCAGCCGTTGCGCGAAAAAAAGAGCAAGCACTTACCCTGGCTTTAAATCAAAGTTGGCTGAGGCGTAGTACACCTTTAGTTCGCGTGATACCTTATCGATACTTGATAAGTTTACCGTTTCTTGGCCAGCGCCGAGGTTTAATATTGCGTAAACAGATCCATCCTTAGCAGTTTTCCTATAGAAAGATAGCATGACCGTGAATCGTAGCAAGTGTAGTTGCATGAAGTATTAAATTGAATTTAATGAATTTAATAACTGAATTTAATAAATTCAACCAAATCATTCATATCGCAATGTCTGGAAATAGTGATGTAATATCAGATGATGTGATATTAATTGCAATTTTCCACTAATCACTAAGAAACAAATTATTGTTCCAATAGTAGTTCGATCATGTTTTTTGTTTCAACAAAATTTTCTGTATTTTTTGTAAGCAAAGTATATAGGGTGTATCTTTTACCAGTATGTAGTTACTACCTTCCAATTCACTGTTACGATTTATTTCGTTACAAGTTTTTCAGGGTCTAATATTTGCTTACCTAGAAATCAATAAAATGTTCTTGCTCAACACCTGCGTGACTAAGTTTGCTTTCGTAAGGAATGGCATTTTCTTCAACTTCGCTATTGTCTTATAGAAATTGTAGTAGGAATCCTTATCTTTTTTCTCTGTTTTTAGATTGACAGTTTTGTAGTTTTCATTGATCGGAAGCCAAGTGTTTGGGTTTGATGAAAATCCTGTAAATAATGTTTCAATGTATTATATCATCGTTTTTCAATTTCAATCAATAGTACTATATTCATTATTATTTATCAAGCAGTTCGTTTATCGCTTGATATTATTACGATTTATTATAAAAACCATTAACGTTCGTAACAAGAATTTTATCCCACAATTTCAACTTATTCTTTCATTAGGAACATTTCTTTACTCAGTTTTATCACGATTTTCTAAATGCAACGTGACCTCTAAAATACGTGACATCTAAACTACGTGGTTTTTAAATCTTGAATGATAAAGTAAACACTTATATGTTCTATTCTGTTGTACTCATTGCACGATCGATCACATAAGCCTTTAAGGAACCAAGGAGCTTACCAGCAGAAGTGGTTGTGTCCCACTGGAATGGCGATCGCTCAGGATCTCTAGTCACCTTTGCAAATTTATTTTTACCGGCGAGACATGCTTCCGGGTCCTTGGTATTTTCCCACGAAACCGGGGTGTCCTCCATGCCAATCTCATCGCCATTATACGTAACGCTGACACCAGGCAATAAAAGCGTCAACAAAGTGACCGCTCGAGCCTTAGGCCCGAACCGAGACACCAGTCTCGGATTATCATGGTTACCAGCCTGCACAAAGATGTTTTGCGATCATTCATCAGTGCTACAACAATCGAATCTGACATTGCTCTTACTTATTTTAGATTTATTTCCTTCTTTCGAACTAATATATATATATCAGATTTTACATATTTTTTCTAACCACAAGAGAAATTACCTGCGATCGCAGCACTCATAATAATGATGAATTTTAATAATCGTCAAGTGCAATATTATTATAAGTAATAATGATTATTAAAAAATATAATGTGCTATTTTAAAATATCATAAGTTTTTTTCATTTTTGAATCATTATTTTCCAAACTCAATTTAGTGTAAATTCAATAAAAACATGTGTCCGACATGAAAAGTCGTGTTCCTGAAAACTGGGGCTGAGTGAAACCGTATGAAGGTCTAACGGTGTTTACTTCAATTAATGAAGGCAACTCAAAACTAAACTCTATTTAAACTTTGTGGTTAAACACTCGGACCCAGTATGTTGATGCATATGAAAGTGTTAACCGCAAATTCGTAATATTTCCGACGTATATAACAAAGCTATATTCAGAGTTGTTGAAGCTAGTATTTTAGAGTGACATAAAATTATAATTTCTTCTGTATTTGGTAAGGAAAGAAAACAATTTTCATACAAATGAATCAATTCAGGGAAAAAATGATTCTCTGCAAAATATATACAAATGGATAAATAAATTTACTTGCAGTCGATTCATTGGTTCAGTTCTTACGTGCGTTTTACTTAGAGACTATATGCAATTTACAAAAATCGACGACCAATCTTGACAGTTCAAAATAAAAATGAAAAGAGAGGACATGGTTTGAGGACATCATAACAATGACTACTTGCCACATAAAATTGAAAAAAATCTTTCTGTTACAACTATGAATAGAAAAAATAACAAATTTACAAATATGGAAATATTAACATCAGGAAATTTTTAAAAACCGTTAAAGACATTTTCAAGGAACATTTTCTACCGCCTATTACGAGCTCATTGAGTCATTTTCATTTACACTTTAACTGCCAAGTGAATACTCATCAAAACTCCTATGCAGTCGAAACAATTTTCTTAATAAAGAAACTAAAAAGTCAAAATTCTTCATAACAATTGCTCTACTATCTTTCTTATATCTTATCTTGTATCTCATACATCAAACAAAATTTGGTTCGTTCGATACGTCATCAGGAAAATTAATGTTTATGTTCATGTAAAAAATGGTTCAACTGAATTCAAATGACGCAATAGTCAAGGTATTAACGATAACAAATTTTTTTCTATTCTACAAACTTACCACCCAGTTAGCTGTTGCGCCCTCTGGCATATTCTCTATCCACCTATCGATGAGATGTTTGAAATCTGCAGCTGTCGACTGGTTATTCAAGTCTACGACCATTCCGAAGTTGAAGGGGTAGCTGGCTCCAGATGTGTAGTACTTCATTGTCATTGGTATGGTTGTGTATGCTTCAATCATCATAACTTTGTCGCCACTGTACTCAGCGAGTAATTCACTCCAACCCTTTACCACATCATACGTTCCCGGGACATCCTTGGTATATATTTTAACCGTGTAGTCGTAATCATTTGGATCATTAGTGGTGCCTGACAATGGTTCATCCAAAAATCTCTGATCCTCACAAAGATTGGGCACAGCGTCCACTCTGAAGCCATCCACGCCTAAGTCTAACCAAAACTTCAGGACATCCTGTAAAATGACGATTATTAGTAAACAGATACATTCACTTGGTGATTATCAAATTAATATATAAGTTGTCACCATTTGAAAGTTAAGTTTTTAAATAAACTCTTAATAATATAGAACTATTAGATAAACAAATAGTCATTTGGTTAGAATGAAATTAAATTTTTTTCGTATAGGTATTATTAGTAATATAACTAACTACTTCGAAGAAAACATTTCTCTTCCTAATCACAAGCTTTTTACTTTCCAAGTTATATATGTACATACATATTCCGTTATTTTTATTTAGTGTAGAAAAGTTTTATTTAGAGTTAAATAAATAGAATGGTATATTCCAACATTTGTTTGGAAATGATTAAGAAGCAAAATACTTATTTTGATGGGTAGATATTTTTGTTAATTTTAAATGTAAAATTTTACAACGCAACTAAAATATACGTGTATATAAGGCGCTCTATTGTGTAAGTACATATAAGCCTGAGCATAGTAATAGTAACGAGTACTGGACAGAAATGACTGACTTACTTATCGTGACAACTGGATAATTATTACAATCACATTCTTTTTAAAACGTGTGGTCATCTGTAAATTGTATTCAAGACTTTAGCAGGTATAAAAATGAATTTGTAAAATGTGCCCCTTTCATACATCCATAAACATTATTTGATATAGCTATACATGCACTATCAGATTTAATAATTTATAAGATATATACACCATCTCAACATTATTTCGTATATTAAGGATTCGACTATACGTTACATTCATGGTTGTCTATATAAAAACTCTACAGCTTTTTTCGTCGAGGAAATTGCTCAACACTGACAAGCACCAATTCAACAAAATGACTCACATTTTGTAAGAATTTCACGATAAGAGGGAGTTCATAGTCACGTTGAAGTACGAACTGGCGCGTGGAAACAGTAAATAGATCCAACAAATAGGTCCAAAAGTGCAGAAAACATTAGGAGAAATATATTTTCTCATTTATTCGCTACAATAAATCTGTTATATCAACAGTTGACATTACTGGTAGTAAAATGTACATTGTAGCTTAGAAACACGAAAATACGATGTAAAGTTGAAGTACTTTGTTCAATGTGTTACACACTAACAGAATAAAAAAACTGCATCAGAAGACTGGTTAAAATTATTCGAACAATAAACCATGATTTTTTGAACTTAGATTTTCTATCATATATGAAACAATGAGTTATTTCAAGAATCTAGATTACATCTGTAAATAGGCATTAAATAGTACGAATACAGTGAAAGTTCTATATACATTGTAGCATAAAAAGCAGCAAATAAAACAGACGAATTAAACAAGTGTTTAACAAATTCATTTGTAAGAATCGAACTGGTATGAATAATGTAACATTGAAACCCAACAATAAAATCTGATGTTAAAAGTCTATTAATATCGATCACAAATATAAATATGTAAATTTCCAGGAATTGTTGCAATCTATTTAAATATATTTGATTAAACTTGAATCAACAATACTCTTAATAAGAACATATGTGACAGCTGTAAGTTTGACTAAAGTAATGATTCGAAGTATAAGTAAAAGATTCCAGAGACAAACGTATTTATATAATATGCTTAAATTATTATTCGGATCGGCGACTTTAAATCCAATTAAGAATTAAAGGGATGAATTAGACCGTGGGATCTAACAGCTATAAAGACAATAACAGGATTAAAACAGCGTTTAATGGAAGAATCGAGATATGTATATCCCTTAGGACCAGTGAAAAAGCTTGTTTTATAAATTTAAGCGTTTCAACTAAAATATTAATTAAAAGGAGATATTTGACAATTATTTTTGTAGTGTAAAAGATGGATATATCAAACAAATAAAATGATTAATTTGATGTTATCGCTTCTGGAGACATAGAATCGAAACATAGAACAATTTTCCTAATTAACATAAGAAAATTCATATGAATATGTTATTAAAAAATGAGAATTTAAATGCAAACAATTAAAACACAGAATCTAAAGAGAGTTTGGTTGAATAATATTAATAATAGGTGCATAATATTTTCAATATCATTCTGGTAACCAATGCATTCTTTCTACTTCGATCGCACAATAAATTGTGAAATCGGTAACATTCTTGGCGACGCGCACCGGGAAAAAATTAACAAACAGTTAACAGTTTACGTGAGATAACAATTATCTAAATAAAAATTGTTCTATCGATACAGATATCCAAGATTTTGTGGAATTTATTGTCGTAAATGAAAATAGCTAGATAAAATAGATAGAAATATCGCACTGGTAAAAGTATATAAACAAAATCAAGAATCAAGTTCTAAATTATAATTGATAGCCTCATCCTCGGCGTAACTTGTCAAGGTAATAAGTCAACACAATTGTTTGCTTCCGCCTAATTTTGGGTGCAGGAACCTCAAGCTAAATTAGGGTTTCATTGATAGGTCGATGCTAATTTAATTTTGGAGAAAATTCTCTATGACGAAGCTACCAGCTTAATTGAAAGTACTTACTGAACCTGATGAACTTACCACGTAGCGGTGACAAATTTTTCGATATACATTTATATACTTTAAAAATTGTCTTTGTTTCAAATATACTTTTACTCTAACAATCATCATTGCTCAAATTTAATCTAATAACTATTGATAAAAGTCAATATTCATTACTAAATTATTAGTATTTTGTTTTTAATTATTATTTAAATAATATTTGTATGCATGGATATAATATGCAAATAGAGTATTAGTAGCACAACAGAGCAAAACACAAGGAATGCTTCTTCGCTTGAAATATTATAATTAATATTATTAATTGGAAAATGTTTTATATAAAACATGACTAATTTTAAGAATGAAATTAACGTACAATAGAAAATATGCAATATATAATGATAAATTCATCATATGATATTAAGTGAATGATAGAATATTTGAATGAATGAAGAGCGAAATATTGAGATGATGAAGTAGTATTTATATAATTGAATGGTAACATATTAAAATGACAAAATAGTATCTACATGATTGAAGAACGAAATAATAAAATAATGAAACAATATTTATATAACTGAAGAACGAAACACTAAAATAATAAAATAATATTTATGTAATATCCTCGCGATATTAATTTACCGCGTATAGCTCTACTCGATATCAGAAAACATTCTATAGTTGCGCAGTTCGACAGTCAAAGTTCCCAGCAGCTATTTTCCATGCGTCCCCTCTCTGCAGCGCAATCAAGCTGCTTAAAGTCGGTTCAGCCGTGAACCGAGTCCCAGTGCAAACGCCATTTTGCGTTTTTACAACCTGATTGCGTCCATCCGGACGGCGTAACAAGCCTCATTCTTATCCTGAATGTTAACAAGTTTCATTGACTGCGAATATTTCGACGTTACATCAAAACCACATGCAAAATTAAGATGATGTTGTAACAGTAGAAACACCTCTACACGTTCTCCAACAAATACGAACATACAAAATGTTGCAACGTTAGAAGAGTTCGTTAAGCGACGAGGTTTAGCGCGGTGAAAAATTTAGTCCTGTAATCTTGCCGTGAATCATGACTCCGAAATATGACATCGTTGCAAAACATCATTCGCAAAGAGGCTTGGTTCATATCTGGAGCAAGATTTACATTCGTTAGGATTTTACGCTGCACAGGTCCACATAAGCAGAAAAGTTCAAGGCGTAGTAGATGCAAATGAAACTTCTTATCACTACGAATGTTGAACGAACACCTTATTAACAATATAACTACCGAGCAATAAGAGTGAGTTACTTATAATTTCTTATAAAAATTAGGAGACTATCTTTCTTGAGATTTGAAGCTTTCCTTATTGTTGCACTTGTACAAATACAGGAATTTATTTTGAAATTTGTCACAAAAACATCTTTATCATTTTAATAATTGTAAAATAGGAATCTTGATATCGGTAATTCGGACCCGACCGGTAGTTCTAGTGTTAAACGGACCAGGCTTAAACAGCCAGCAGCAAATTCCTTCTTATATAGATTTTTACTGTCCTTTGCTCTGGAGTTGGTGAGCAGGAAGATACAAGGCTAAGAGAAGTCTATCGCCGAGTGTTTTGTTTGTAATTTTCATTGGTTACGTGTAATTGTATCGACGAGTAGTAAATTAGCATGAGAAATGAGATGAGGGCAAATGAAAACTGATCTATTAGATCCGCATTCCTTTTAGTCGTCATGTCTTGGACAACGAACAGTATGTTTTTATACTTGGAGCTACTGAATCCATCTACAATGTTTAATGTTATGAATATCCATCTGCTATTGTGCATATATGTGACAAAAGTCATCGCTGTGGACTATGAACGCGTATACATGTCGGTCAAAAGTTTGGAACCACCTGAACGTAACGTCACAAATTAAAAATCACATATTTCATAAATATATAAAATAAAATAACAAAAATTATATATATTTACATTCGATTAATACGCATATTACATGATACTTTATGATATACAAACATTCTCCAATAAAAGTTGTTTACAAAACATGAAAGTGTTTCTTTTAGCCGATGCATCGCTCCCCAATTTTCGATCGACAGTATATGTGTTCGTTGATCCATTTGACCTGGATCCATTTGACCTCCATTTGACACATGCCGCGGTAACAATTATAAGCGTATGAGATAAATATACACGTTTCTTAGCATTATTCAAATGAGAAATTACAATTACAACTTCATTACGTCTTGTACGAATGTACAGATTCGAACGATCTTGAGTCATTGCCTTACAATAACGAGTGAGACTCGTGGTGAAAATTTTAAATAGAATTGAACAAAAGTAAATATTACTCAGTTCTTGTGAATTCAAATTAAATATTCTTCTTTTGTGATCAATTATTATTCATTGGAACAAACGAGAACATAGGATATGCCTAGAATTGTTCTGTTTTTTAAATTAATTATTAATAACAATATAGTTGAGTTGATTATAGTTGAGAAATAAATCGTAAGATAAACGGTTAAGATGGCAAGTTAAGCGAAAGAGTATTCCGTCCAGACGAAATGTTTCAGCTGGGATTATACGGTACTCAAAAGGTTAATACTCCCTAAATCTATACAGCGAGAATAATTGGGTATTTGTATACTAGAAATGAATCTGTTCTACCATTTCATTGGCAATTATTTTATCAGGCATACTTACTTTCATTTGTTGTACGAGGGCTGGGCTGCTGTAGTTCAGATCTGGTTGCTGCACAACATAATGATGAAGGTAATATGCCTGACGTTCCTCTCGCCACGTCCAAGCCGATCCACCAAACAAACTTATCTATACGAAAAGAATAATTACTGAATTTTGGGGTATGAGAAAACACTAAGAAATGATGTGTAATTATTAAATATTGTATTAATAAAAATACAGGTGTTATTACAATTATCATAAATGTGAATCATACTATCTAGATAAAAGTTTCGACTGTCCTGAATTAGCATACGTGGTTGTTAAATAACGCTTACTAAAAAATTTATAAAATATTCTGTCATTACAACAATTACGCTTGGACTGTAAATATTTATGAGAATGTAAATTTGTATATATCAGAAAAATGTAATATTTAAAATCTATTAATATTCAAATTGTTATTATAATTAATATTAAAATGCAAATTGTAATATCATAAAGAATATAGATGGTGCATATAGCAAATGATTTAATTACATTGTTTAGAAATTCAGTTAATACTATATTTCGGTTCTAAATATCAGCAGCAATTAACGAACTGAGGTTTGATATTGTATCTTACGATTCAGTGATTAATATTCAACGGTAATAGAAAACTGCAGTTACCGTGGAACAAAATAACGCGATAATGATGTGATGTTGGTAATTGGCAACCCTTTATAAATCGTAATACGGGATGCATTTCTGTGGAAATGTGAAACGGATACTTTAATGGAGATACATTTTCCCGTCCATTGGAATGTTCCATGCAAATCGAATATTGTTCGAAATTCACAGCCACTCCTTTTACGGAAAATATTTAACGATTTCGAGTGAAATACGCGCAAAGCAGCAACAATTTTTACACTGATCATGCACGTGAATATAAAATATAGATATATTACAATCGAATAGTGATATATTTGGACCAATTGTTTTTCAATCTGCGGCTGCAAAAATTAATAAAAAAATCATTGTTCAATTTTTATTTTACTTTTGTCCTTTAATTAAGGTACAAACTATCAAAAA